CTCAGTGATTAAGATTCCTGGCTGCTCTTCCAGAGAACCTGGGTTCAGTTCTCAGCAACCACATGGCAGCTAACAACTGTTGTCCATAACTCCAGTTCCAGGGGATCCGATGTTCTCTTCTGGCCTCTGAAGGCTTGCATGACATGGGTGTACATACATGCAGGCAATACATTCACACACATAAAATAAAAAAAGAGAAAACTTCCAAAATTGTGTGTGTATGTGTGTGTGTGTGTGTGTGTGTGTGTGTGTGTGTATTCATATGTATGGAAATTAGAAGACAACCTCAGGTGTCAGTCTTTCCTTCCACCTTGTTTAAGAATCTCGTTGTTTGCTGATGCACTTGCCAAGCTAGCTGGTCTACCTTTGCTTTTGCCTCTCATCTCAGCACTGGAGTGCCAGGGTAAAAACATTCTATGTGTGTGCCAACCTTTACACAGATTCTGGGGATCCAACTCAGGACCTCAGGCTTGTGCAGTAAGTGCTTTACCAGTGAGGCCTCTCCCAGGTCCCTGCATTTACATTTTGATTCTAAATGCTATGTTTCTATAGATTTGCATTGGTTAATTTCACCTACAAGTAATCCAGGATTGGCTCAAGTCCATCAGGAATAAAACGGAGCTTCAGATAATAGTATAAGGGCTCATAGGGAGAGATCAAGGAGAATTTATTTTTTCCCCTTTAACAACAACTTCAGTGTAAAGAGAGAATGGGTTTTTTTGTATAAATTTTTTTTTGAATTTTTGTGCATTTCATAAAAAAAATCTTAATCATCTTCATACCCCCTCCCACTCTGTACCACCCATATCTCCCCACCAGATTTCATGTATTCCGTCATATATGTTAAGGCCTATAGACTGAAATTTGAGTCAGATGTCCCTCAGTTTAAGTTCATCCACTGGAGTCTCGTGAGCCTATCTAGAGTCTCTCTCACACAGTAATCAATCCACAATACTGTCTGGAAACCAGAAGTGGGTGTCTCCCAGCACAGAAATTCACATAGTTTTATTTTATTTTCTTCATCTTTTACCTATGTAGACATGTTCACATACAATGTTTCAGATAGGAGTAAATTCTATCCTAAAAGCAATAGATATTGTCATAGGCTATTTTGTTGTTTAATTTACCTTTACATAGCCAGCTCCCTATTGCTAATTCTTTTACCTTTAGCTGCTACTCTTTTTTCCTTTTAGTTTAGGGTCAAGGTAAAGGGAAGATGAGTCACCCTCTGATAAGTAATGACTCATGCACTGTGGAAGGGAACATTATACATATTGATTGAGACAATGGTTTGTAATTATATTTTGATTAGAAGGCAGGGGGAGTCAGTACCAGCTTTGATTCCAGTGAACCTGTGTTTAAATCATAGCTCAACTACCCATCTTGACCTTGAGCTTGGAAATCTACTTTCTGGCATGTCAGTGGTAATAAAATGCTGACTTCTTAGAGCTTTTGTGAACATTAAGAACTCTGATCTATATTAAGTGCTTAAACATGGAAGTGCTACTCCACACCACCCTACTTATGGTTGCAGTAATTATGGGCAATTAGAAATTGGCCCTAGATTTTATTAAATAGCTGAATGCATTCTAATTGCTTTAGGTTTCATTGGACCATACTATGAGCAGTACTATTATTTAAATGACTTTCCAGTGATAATTATGCATTATTAGACATTGTAATAAGTCTTTCAGTATTGTCATTATCCTGAAATTGTTGGACTATTATCCTAAAAATAGTAGGTATATTATTAGAACACACATTTTCCACCTTTATTGTCATTTTGTTTAAAGAGTATCATAAATAGGGGGCTGGAGAGATGGCTCAGCGGTTAAGGACACTGACTATTCTTGCAGAAGACCTGGGTTCAAATCCCAGCACCCACATGGCAGCTAATAACTGTCCGTAACTCCAGTTCCAGGGTATCTGACAGTCTCTTCTGTCCTCTGCTAGTCTTGCGGGACGTGGGTGCACTTACCTACATGCAGGCAATACGTATATACACATAAAATAAAAATAAAAAATAAAATATTTTAGAAAGAGTATCATAAACAGAGAACACTTCCAAAATCATCATATTGAAATTTTATCCTTTTCAGTAAGAAGTTTTAAGGCAGATGTTGAAAATAGCATAAAATGAGATATTCTCATTATCAGGATATTTTTAACCTGCATGTTCTCCACAATCCCTGTTGCCTAGGTTTCAGGATGCTTCAACAACTTTCCAAACACTATTTTATCAGGAAATAATTCAAGCCCACTGCTGAAGACTATTCATTATTTTTAAGAATTACAACTATGAAACTTGATCAGTATTTGGCAATTAAAACAGTGATCGAAGTAGACTTATTACCCATTTAATTTCTAGTCCCAAATGTGAGCTTAGTTGTTAGAAGGATTCTGTGTGTCAGGGGCAAATGCTAGAAGCATCTAGAAAAATCACTTGAGTTGGGAGTTGCCTGGGAGCGTCCCTGATGGAGGAAACTTACATTTTGTGTTTAGGAATGCTACATCTTTCTTTTTTCCTTGTAAACAAAGTTTGTGATCTTTTTTAAAAATGAAAACTGATGCTCTAAGCATATATGAAATAAAAATATGCTAATTCTTTTCCCCTTTATTTAAATGAGAACATGAGATTCAGTGATTAATATTTGTCTTGGAATCATAGAAGATCTATGCTCAAGTGAGTGTTTGAGACTATCAAGTTATGTTCTTTCTTCATATATGAGGAACATGGATTTGAGCTGAATGCTGGAGTCTTAATTTATGGCCCTACATTGAAAGCAGTGCACAGTTTTCTTCCTACATAGTTCTTATTGTTTCTTTCCTTGATAGGAACACAGTTATCTTCCAATATTTACCCATTTACAGTTTCCATAAGAAGGTATTAGGAGAACTGGAGAGATGGCTCAGTGATTAAAGAGCACTGGCTGCTCTTGCAGAGGACCCAGGTTTGGCTCCCAGCACCCACATGGCAGCTAACAACCATCCATAATTCCAGTTCCAGGAGATCTGACACCCTCTTCTGGCCGCCATGAGCATTGCACACACATAGTGCACCTATATACATACAGGCAATAAACTCATATACACAAAAATAAATACAATTTTGCTCTCTCCGACCCGCAGGCCTCTCTCTCGGTTAAGTTGATTGCGCCCTCCGAACCTTGACTCCCCCAGCCTCATTCACCCTCCCATCTCCCCCACCCCTCTCTCCTCCCAGTCTGGGTCCTGTCCCATTCCTTGTCTTGGTGCCCCAGACACCTGGGGAACCACCACTGCTTCCTGATCCTTTGCATCCAGACCAACCCAATCTTATCTAAAGGAATGTTGACAACTGATTGCTGCTAGATGAGGAACAGCTGACCTTCCTAAAACAAAGACCTCTAGATAGGCTGACTAGATTCACCAGATGGACAAGTAGTGGGGAACGGCTGGGAGTGCCAGCAACACAGCAGACAGTAGCAGGGATATCAGAGTATAAGGACTCTAGTGAGGGGAGGGATGCTATGGGAGGATAAGATGGTTTGGGATGTTCTGTGTGATACATACACACACACACACACACACACACACACAAATCAACAAAATTTTAAAAAATGTGTTGTATTTGAGGAGGAAGCATGGAAGTTTATGCCATGTTAATTAGTAGAAGTGATAAACATCACCACTGAAATCTACCCGATGACTTTATAGACATACACAGGCGCCAAGGATCCAAGTGCAACCGATTACAACTAGTAATAGACACAGATTAGAGATGCATGAGCCAACATCTCAGTGTTAGTAGCAAAAACAATAAGCCTTTCTGCAAGGAACAATTTATTCTAAAATGAAATGGAGATCTTTTTGAAAGGTTAAAAACTCATTCAATTTTATGTCTTACAAGGCTTATACTGAGTTCAATATTGTATAACTATTAATTCAACTGTGAGCCTAGAAACTTACAACCGCTTGTGAAAGAGATGGACTCTTGCTCTGGAGTGTGTTACTGAATATGTTAATGCTGTAATGAAATGTTTCCTCTAATCATGTAGCTATTAAAATTTTTTTAAAATGGTAAAAAATACAATTTTTAATTAACTAAGAATATAAAAGGTATTATCAGAGTCCATAAACATCCAAGAGTTGCATCACATGGGAGAATAAGCAGGATCGATGGTAGGTGACAAACGACTTTCTGAACATCAGTAGCCAACAAACTTCTGCCAGGGCTGCTGGCAGCTGAATCCTGTTCATAGTGTGTCTACCATTGTAGAGACATGATTGTAACAGCAAAAATCTTGAGTACGCAGAGTTGCTAAAAGGAAGCATCATGTATCCTTTACAAATATACCAAGTGACAAAGAATTAGTTTAGCTGGGTAATCGTTACTTCAAAAAACAGAGTATTCCGTTCATCATTCCCACCAACAATATCTCTATGAAGCAAGTTATTAGCAACATGTAGCCAATTGGTAGAAATGGCTGAAAATGATGTAGTGTTCGAAAATGTAATTGGGCTCATGAAAGCAAGAGATTTCTTACAATATAATCTTTTCCAAGCTGCACATTTTATATAAAATGGTATGTTTTTATTAAGAAAGCACTTCACATCAAATATATATAATGTTTTAAGGCTTTGTTTTCTTAACCTTCTAAAAACAGATTTAAAATAGAACAAAAAATAGACTTCAAGGAAGCTTTGTTTTCGTTGAATGTAACTGAGATTTTTAGTGGTGGCTGTGACCTTTCTGGAATAACAGGTATGCTGAGAACTAATTTTTATATTGTTATGTTGATTTGTTTTGTTGGTAATATATTACCTAGGTGATATTAGAACTATGAGAGTATTCAGTCTTAGCATGCACATACATGGTGAATAAATATCATGCTTGGACCGAGCAATGTATCTATAAATATGCGCTCTTTTTTTGCATGTAAGAAATTTTCCTTAATGAAAATCATAAAGTTAGAGAAGCATTGTCACTATAGTTCTTTATTGGCTGTTATATATACATTAAGTGAAATTAATTCAATTATATATATATATTTGATATTATTATTATTTTCAGAAGAAGCATATCATTACAGCTTTAACATGCCCAATAACAGTTTCCAGAATAAAGACACAGCTCCTTCAAAAGCGGCTATAAAATTTCTAGGTTTGCTGTTGAATCAATACAGTTATACAATATTGAACTCAGTATAAGCCCTGTAAGACACAAAATTGAGTTTTGAACCCTCAGAAACGAACTCCATTTCATTCTAAAATATACTGTTTCTTACAGAAAGACTGTTATATTTTTAAAGTATTTTCATTGATTATTCAAGAAATTCACACAATATATTTTATCATATTCAGACACCCTCTCCTCTCTCCTCTTTCACCTTATCAATGCCCCTGCCTCCCTGTTGAGGCTTCATGTCCTCTATTTTCTTTAAAGGCTCATGGAGTCTAATATGTGTTCCCCAAATGCTCGGGGTATGAGTTTATCCCTTGGAGTCTGGTCAACCTACCAAGCATCGCACCAGTAAAGAATAATGACTCTCCCTCTCTGAGCAACCATCAGTTGCCAATAGATCCTCAGCTAGGGCAGGGGCTTTTTACCAATCTCCCCCTTCCATGCTGGGTTTTTGTCTGACTTGGGCTTAGGTCTGCCTTATGCACTCTGTCACAAGTGCTATGGGTTCCCGACTACCCTGTGGTGTCCAGAAAGCACTGTTTATTTGTAGACATCTGCCACCTCTGGATCATCCTTTTGGCTGCTCTTCTGCAATGATCCTTGAACTTTGGGAAAAGAGGGTGTGATGTAGGTGTTCCATTTAGTGATGAGCCTTCTGCTAACTCTTATTCTTTGCACATGGACCAGCTGTAGTTCTCAGTATTAATCTTCATCTGCCCCAAGAAGCTTCTTTGGTCAGAGTTATCACACTTTTAATAAAAGTCACCGTACTTAAAATAAATTCACGTAATTAGAAGTATTATATGGGCTTCTATTTCTACCCTGTTTGTGTTTCTTTATGAATAATGTAAATTACAACCTGCATCTGTCATCTAAGCAGGGCTAATAAAACTCTGGTGGACAACTAATTTGCAAATGTTAATTTGGTAAGATTAATGTGCACAAAGTAGGATCCCTAAGCTTTGTATTGTGAACATGATTGGAAATCTATGAGGCTACCATGAGCAGTGTCACTGCAGAGGCCTTCCAGCTGACAACAAATGGAGATGGAATGTTAGTGCTAACATGCACTTGGGGAATTTCACCTCATTGAGTTGCTCACCTCCACAGGTATGCCAGGCACTCTTTTAATTCTTATGGCCTCGGCACATCCTGCTAGTTGGAAAATAATTACTAAAGAAGGAAAGGAAGAGGGCCATACATATTACAAGTTACCCTTCTAAGCACTCTGTCTTCTCTGCTATGAAAATTGCCTTGATGCTAGAAGCTTGCCCTTTTGTGTTTTGTAGCACCACATAACATACTGTAAAAAGTGTTTTGTAGACACATATGTAAATGTATAAACATTGAAGGAGTATTGATCAATCTATTCACTCTACAGTGGTGTGGATAAGTGGGTAGAACAGATGAGCTTTCTGGGAGGAGGCAGTGAGTGAGATGCACAGCATCATAGACGCTCGCTATCACCTTCACAGCCAGTGGTCACAGCTACTCATTCATTCTCACCTTCACATATCATGCAGCCACTTGGTCTCATAGTAACAACTGGATCTGACTTCTTGATCATTTCTATAGTTCCTGCAATGAGAGTCACCATTAAACATGTCAACAAGATGCTATTTAGTGTGCCTTGGAGCACAGCCACCTCTGCTAATCCCTACGAAACCCAGCCATTTTAGAGCAATTCTTCCTTTTAAACTTTTTTTTTCTAGCCTTAGGAAGCTCACTCAGTACATGTTAGACTTGATAGCTATTCGTTCTTCAAATCTAAGCAAGTTGTAACTTCTATTAATCTTTTACATGATGATTTATGAAAACACTTTCATGAAAAAGAATTTGTGCCAAAGAATAACCCCAAGCAGAGAATAAATGTTTATTATTTTCTGCTTCTCTCCCCTTGGTTTACCTATTTGAGTTATTGTTAACTATTTTGGTCCTACCTCATTGGCTAAAACAGACACCCAATTCCAGAACTACAGCTGGTACGTAGGAGCATAGTGAACTTCAGGCAGTATTAGTTTTCAGAGCTGTGACCAAATATCTGACATAAACAGGCTAAAGGAGGAAAGATTTATTTATTTAAGGTCTTAATTTCAGTCCATGGTTGTTGGGCTCTTGTGCTTGGGCAGAACATCATGGTGGTAGAGGAACTTCTTAACCTCATTGAAGACAAGAAGCATAGAGAGGGGTAGAAACAAGGTCCCCCAAAAATACAACCCCCGTGACCTACTTCCTTCAGTTCACTCCCATTTTCTAAGTCCTATGACCAGTTGAGGACCTAGTGCCCAGAACATGAGCCTTTGGGGGGTGATTCTTAACTAATTCAAAGTATCTGCTTGCTTGTTTATTATCTGTATAAAAGAAATCCACCAAAAGCTAATGTGCATTAGTCTACTATGAGCTATGGACCATCTATAAGAAATAGGTGATATCTTCCACACACATAGCTCACAAGTATTGAGTATAATATTTTATAGAGTTTCTTTTGGAATTTTGGAATTCACATTTGACTGTGTTATCATTTCCTATATCATATGCAGTAAAACACAATCTTTTAGAGTCTCAGCTTTGTAATCTAAGTGAGATCATACATCTTAATAACTTTGGGGAAAAATAGAAGAATGTGTACAGGCCATCTTTTCATCTAGCACATAGTACCTATTCAGTAAAGTTGATTTTTTTATTTAACACTAAAATTTACTTGAAAAGGCAGAGGGATGGCTCAGTGGTTAAAAGCACTTATGGCTTTTGCAGAAGATTTGAGTTTGGTTCCCAGCACCCATGTAAGGTGGCTCACAACTGCCTGTAACTTCAGCTGCAGGGGATCTGCTGCCTTTTTCTGACTTCTGCAGTACCTAAATCTATGTGTGTGTGCACCACACACACACACACACACACACACACACACACACACACACACACACACACACACACACACACACCTTAAAATTAAAAATACATTTTTAATTTTACTTGAACATCTAGAAAAGCTGTAGACATTTCCTAGACCTCTTAATTTAACAGCAGTAGACTTGGAACATTTACGGAGATGCATAGGAAATGATTACTACAAAGGTCCAGAAAGCAGTGAAATCATTTAACTCTTATCCCTTGTTGTACTGTTATATCTCAGATACCCTTATTTTCCTCATGACAAGCCTTATCTGAAGTGAACTGGCATAAACAAGACCAAGCAGCTCAGTCTAATGTTCAGGGGACCATTTGAATTAGTGCCACTGCTAAGTTGGGTGACCATTTTCACTCCCTCCCAACCTGCATGTACACTTAGGTCATTAGCTATATGCTTTATTAGCGAATACTGTTTTATTGAGGCAATTCTGGTAGAATTTGTTTAGTAAGTATTTTTAAAATTTATTTATTTTTATTTTATGTGTATGAGTTTATTGTCTGCATGTAAGTGTACCCATGTCATGCAATACCCACAGAGGCAGATGACAGAGAGAGCATCAGCTCCCCTGATACTGGAGTTACAGATGGTTGTTAGCCACCGTGTGGGTGCTGGTATTTGAACCTGGATCTTCTTCAAAAGTAGCCAGTGCTCTTAACTGCTGCACCATCTCACCAGACCTATACTTTATTTTGGATAATTCACCCTGACACTGTGGCTTCCCCATTTTGCAGGTTTTGTCACTGGGCACACTCATGTCCATTGATTGGCTTATTTGAATAGGATTTATAGTAAGTGTAGTAAGCCACCCATGTGCCAGGCAGTTTTCTAGAGTATGTATCTACTGACTCTGAAAAAGATAGTCAAATCTATCTGGCTCTGCAAAGCTGCTTGACATGAGGTCTGACTCATGACTTGACTTCTCAAGATTATCCTTACAGGTCATGATGCAGAAAATATTTCACACTTACATCAGTTCTGAGAGGAGGGGGAGCTCTCAGCTTGTGTGTATACCAGAGTAAAATGTTGGAAGATGCTTCTATACTGAAAATTTTATCAGGCTTTTAAAGCATAGTTCTAAAGTGATTTTTGTAACAGATGATACACTTTTATAGCCTTGACAGTCTTGAAGGGAAGTAAATTTTGTTTTAAACGCAGATAAAAGCTGAATGTGGAATTTTAAAGACAAGTTGCCTTTCACGTTGAATACACAGGGTTAGGATTATCTCAAAATTTGAAAGCTTTCATTCTGTCTGTAGATCACAGTGAAGGGGAAAATGCTTTCTGTCCATTCAAATACCACTTAGTGGGATATCTGATCTGAGGATTATACATTTCTGTCTTTACCTTTTATGCCAGAGCAAACCTGACCTTTCTATTTCATGAATGGCAGACTTAAACCTAAACACTGTTATCTCCAGAAAACTGCTTAAATTGTCAAGAGTTCATTTGTCTGATTTCTGTTCCTGTGCATTTGTAAATGCAATTAATTCAGGACCAAATGAAATGGCTATGATTTTAAACATTAAATACTCCTTCCTGTTTCCATCAGACTCAGATGAAGTGTATATTTCCCAAGTCATGCAAAACGTTCTCTTTGAGATTAATGAAGATGGCAGTGAAATTGCAACATCAACAGGTAAAACAAATAATTTCCTGACAAGCAAGATGCAGTGAGATGTGGAGGAGGAAGGGTTAGGGTTGTTCTTCTTCTCTCTGACCTCTGTTTTCCCCTATCCTTCGTAGCGGCAAGACTGCGCTTCTCTAAGTTGTTCGAACGTCTTTTAGGTTAGGTGTGACACAAACGAGAAAGGATGTGATTAGGACTTGTGCCCGGTCTATTATTATTTGTTCATCTGCAAATCAGAATAAATTCCAGTTAGATAGGATATGGGGAGAAAACTTCAGGGCTCAAATATGAAATCCTTATTGTTTAAGAATGCTCAGTTTTACCTCTAATTTTATTCTCCTAGTATACCAAGTTACTACTCACTGTTCTAATTTGATTCTTGCTATTATTTCAGTGGCAATGATTCTAAAACTTAGCTGTATATTAGAATCACTTGGGATGTTTTTTAACAAATTCTTTGCTCAAGATAAACTTAAAAAAATAGAATCAGTATCTCTGTTGGTAAGATCCAAGCTCTAGAATTTTCTTAAATTTCCCTAAGTAATAATTCCAATATACATCCAAGGATTAAAAAAAAAAGCCCAGCATTGTGACTTACAGCCTGCCCTGGGCACCACAGACAGTAGCAAGGGTTTCATGTGAAAGCTTGTTAGAAATGCAGAATTGCAGGCCTGGCTCCAGGCCTACGCAGTTAGATCCAAGTGGTCTGAACTTAGTAGGTCATTTGTGAGTCCATTCAAGGTTAAGAATAGGTCCTCTGCTACACTTGTTGGAACAAATGGTATTTTGAATATTATCTATGCTTCCTGTAAATAATACTTGGAAAAATAGTTGGAGGAGAACTTTAGAATCAGATGTTAATGAGTAAGAAAATTTAGTGACTCTCTCATAAATCTTTATTACTTCTCCCATATTACTTGGATTTTAATCAATGTATTAAAATTCATGTCATTTAAAATGTTTTGCTGGTAAATATCCTAAAATTAGATCCACTTAGCTATTTCTTGATTAATTTGTAGTGCTTCATGATGCCAATAGATCGTGACATCTGTGTGCAGCATACTGAGCTGCCATCCTGTCATCTCCTAAAGGACATTCCATTCCTGTGCTCAAGAAACACAGATTTCAGGGGATGGAGTGTATCAATCCTTGGAGAAATTAGGACAATGCTTGTAGAGAGGTTATTGACTCATGAACACACAATTGCCACCTGTTTTTACACATAACTGGATGAGCTCTTGCAGGTTATGAATGATCCTTTATATTAGCAAAGAAAAAGGTCCAGCAGTGAGAAATAACTTGCCCAGGGTCATGATGTGAATTTACAGAGTTTTGACTGAACTCAGATTTCCTGATTTCAAGCTCAGAGCTATTTTGTTTATTGCCCACTGCCCCTCATTGTGAGTCCAGAATTCTCTAGTGGTAGGCAACAGCCATTAAGGGAAAGTAACATGAACCATCAGGTATCTTGATCTGACTTTGAAGGATGTGCCCAGTAATTGTTCAAAAACGATAAAATTGCAAGTATTCATTGCAAATGAGGATGGAAGAATTGACTTTACTTTTCTGATTTATCCGAATAATTCAGACATGAGCATATAGTCCCTGGTAATATGGGCTACAGGGACCATCCTGGTATTCTTGTTAGAAGAGTGGCTTTTATGTCATTCTAGGAAGGTTACAGTTCATTGTCTTTCAATGTTGACTATACATGTTGATTTTATATTCTATGTCTCAGCAAAATTATACAAGACCAGCAAGACTACAAATGTGGTTCAGAGTCCAGCAACTCATGGGGACTTGTTAGAAATGGAGGCTGTCAGGCCTCCAGCCCAATGAGTCAAATGTGAATTAAGAGAAATACCTGAGTCTAGTCAAAATATTTAACTTAAAAAGAACACTTGAATTTTCCCACATTTCTTATTGACAAACGTCATGCTTTCCAGCATGATTTAAATGATCATAACAAAGGATTTTTAAGGGAGCACATCTCTACTCAGTTTCATAATAAAAATCTCATACCTTTTATAACACAAATCCTAGAAGTTCCATGTTCTCAGAATAGTATTAGAAAGTTAAGTACAAAATAAATACTTTTGAACTCAGATGTGATTCTCAAGCCTGAATTGTGGAAATGAAGAACAAACGTATCTGGACAGGAATTGAAAACTGAAGCATTTTAAGGACAAGTAATACAGTGTAAACAGCAGACTGGAAATTACTATTTAAAATATGACAGTGTTCATGTCTTCCTCTAAATTGAATCTAGTATCTCATGTTCTTCCTCATTGAACATAATGTGAAGTCAGAATTAATTTGTGAATGATATAATATTTAGTCTGTGCATGTTGATTTTTAAATTCATTGAAAATTACTTTGCATTTAAGATGCTACTTCAAAGTCCTTTTGTCTATGAAAAATTATTGTGGATGTATTTTCTTTAGTGATTTCTTAAATGCACACGTCTAAATGATGTTTTATATATTTTATAGGTGTGAACATCCCTGTGATCATGAGTTTGACTCAAACCCAATTTATAGCAGATCATCCTTTTCTGTTTATTCTAAAGAACAACCCAACAGGTACTGTTCTTTGAAATTTTTTTGGAGATAGTGCTTAAATTAACCATATAAGTTGTTGTGTGCTTATCTAAAATCATTTGTTCTTTCATTAGGTGTTGGCTAAGTGCATTTTATATACCAGACATGGCACTGTAAGAGATGATGAGGCTTTCATCGGGGTAGTGGTAATATGGCTTCCAGTGCAACTGTTATATGTAGGAAGCTAACTCCACTTCTGAAGTTAGATATTTGATTAATAAATATGTAGAAGCTCAGAGAAAGATAATTTAGTTTGCCTGAGGCCATCCAACTAGACTGGTAGAGTGGGCACTGCATTGAACTCTCTTTACGATGTCACTGTGGAGGTAGAAACTGAGAGTTGAGCTGGGAGAAGAGTGACTCTTTCAGGCTCTAAGAAGAAAGCAGGGCAAGGATCACTTCAAACCTCCACACTGGGCAGTTGGTCAACAGAGGAGGCAGAGAGGCACCAGCGGGCACACAGAAGGAGTGGAGCAAACGGGCATTTGGTACAATGTCAGAATATGGAAATCCAGACTGTCTTGATAGATTTCTCAGTATTTGCTCTTGTAGAAAGAGTGGCCAGAAGTGTGGAAGCACTGGGGAAATCATTTTCAAGCTTATCCTTAGGACTCTGACAATCATAATATCCCATGAGAGCTATAAACCACAGGACAGACGAGATCATTTTATTCAGTGAAGACTATGGCAAAATGCCTTATAGAAAATATCAATATCTCTACAGACTGAGGATGTGGACTTGGGTATCAGACCTGGGTTCACAATCCAGCTCAATGAACTAATTAGTATTGCTCATTTATTCTAAATTTCATTTCTCTATTTCATATTTGAGCATAACATTGGCATTCATGAAATAAAAAAATACTCATACAACTGCCCTAACATGTAATGTTTTCATTAAAAATCAATCAGCATAAATCAGTGAATAACAATAAGCAAAGGAAAGGAGAACTGAAAAGTTTCTCTTTATAATCTGGTTCATATGGAAAGGAAGTATAGTTAATTTCAGAATCCGAATCTATTAGATTAGCTGGAGGTTTTGGTATTCATCCACTAAGAGATACACCAAACTTTTTCTAACACCAAGATGCTGATAGATCTTTTGAAAAGATAGATGTCTTGTGGAAACAGAACAGCTCTAAAATCACTAGGCTTGCATAAAACAACTTCAATTCTAGTAATGGACTTGTCAGTATTAAGATATAGTCTGAGTATGCTGTCTGGCCTATACATCTTTAACCTTTGAATGATTATCATTTCTTATAATTAGCATGTACTTATTGAGTACAGAGAACAGAAAGAAATGAGTCTGCGCTGGCATCAAAGCACATGTAAATGGCATTTAGAATGATTGTAGTTGATTGTATTTCCTAAGTTGTTGACTTATATTCTCAGGCTATGTAATATCTTTATGTAAACAGCAGTGAAAATTAAAACTTCAGATAATCCATGAACTTGTTTAATTGTGATAACGTTGAGCTATGAGGCCTTAGTGACAATTTATACGGCTTTATGATGATTACTGAAATGAGACTTTCTAAACTAGGGATGCTCCTTTAAAAAATGGATGTCCACTCATTTATTAGGAGCTATCAATATTGATATAAAATCTATGATGGTCTATTATCTTAAAAACAGTCTATATTTAGTGACATCTATTATTCTCCCAAAAATGAACAAGCATTGAAATTAACAGGCTAACTTAGCATCACCATCACGGGTTATGAGATGACTCCACATTTTACAGCGAGCATATTCAGGTGACAACTTATGAAGTGCAGGTAAAGGACTTTGGGTCTTGTACAACCACTTTCATTGAGATATAAACATTTTCTTTGACCAAACAGTCCTCTTGTACAAATTCTGGATGTTATTTGATTTTTCCTATCAAGAGAATTGTATATTTCAGTAACATATCCAAAGCTTAAGTTATTTTTTTTTTTCATACAGGGTCTCCCTGTAGTCCTAGCTGGCCTGGAAATCACTATAGAGACCAGGCTGTTCTTAATCTCACAGAGATCTGCCTGCCTCAGCCTCCTGAGTGGAGTGCTGGGACTAAAGGTGTCTGTCACCATGCCCAGTGTCTTAGTTTGTTCTTCATTGCTGTGACAAAATATTCTGACCACTACCAACTTGGGGAGGAAAGGGTTTACTTATCTTACATATCTGGGGTCACAGTTCATCCGGGAGCCCAAGGTAGGAACTCAGGGCAGGAAACTGGAGGCAGGAGCTAAAGTACAGGCCATGGAGGAATGCTGCTTACTGGCTTGCTCCCTTGGCCCCTGCTCAGCCTGCTTTCTTATGCAACACAGGCCTACCTGCCCAGGGGTGGCACCACCCACAGTGGGCTGGGCCCTCCCACATTACTCATCAAGAAGATTCCCCTCAGACTTGGCCACAGGCCAGTCCAATAGAGGCAATCCCCCAGTTGAGGCTCCCTCAACCTAGGTGTGTCAAATTGACACTAAAGCTATCCAGCACACCCAGTTTTAGTTAAATTTACAAGAAAATGAATACCTCTTTTTTTTTCTTCTTCTAGGATGAGGGAGTAGGTCAGCTTTATAGACTTTGAGAAGAAATTTGTCAAAGATGGTACATAAAATGTGCAATGTCTGAGCAATAGTAAACCATGATGTTAAAACTGACAGTACTCCACACATAGTAATTACTACATTCAGATCTCTGGACTTGAGCTGAAGGAGGGAGTGGCATGAAGGGCACTGATGAATAAATCTTGTATTCTAATCATTAGTTTTGGTAGTGCTATGGGTTTTAATATGAGGAGATATGAGATCATCTCATAGAGAGCTTGAGTAAATGTTTTAATTAAATGTATACAAGAAGGAGGCAAGGAAGTAAATAACTTTTGTTCCTATTTTCCCTTGAATCTATCACTGTTTTGTCAAGGGAAAGTCAACTAATTGCCCCAACTTAGTGATCAGATTGGTGATTGTGTGAAGATGTGGTTCAAAATGCAATTCTCTTTGGTGAAAGAAACAGATGGAATGTGCTGGGATAAATGGGTTTTATAAAATGTTATGCACTGCAAAGTGTTTCAAAATTTAAAAGATTCTTTTTAATTCTAAGGTTA